ACTATATTTTATGAGACCTGGAGACACTCAGCTCGTCCCAGGAGATGCCACCTCCCCCTGCAAAAGCCAAGGCTGAGGGCAGGCAGATTCTGTCCCAGCGGGGAGCATCCTCCACCCCTCGGCACAGCGCACTCGGCCTTTGCCAGTAGCCGTGGGTAATAACTCTGCTGGTAGCTATAGGTACCCACGTATGGGGACAATGATGAGGTTTTGAAGTTTGGTCGAGGGAGACTTTTTGAGAATTTAATCAAGATGACCTTGATTAGTGATCAGAAATTCATAAAGGACAGACTTTGATCCCAGACCCTAGAAAAGAAACAGAACGTCCTGGACCATCAAGAGAATGTCTGGAATTGTTTTGAGGATGAGTTATTTGACAACCTGGCAAAGGGACTAGTTAGTTAATTAACTTGGCAATGAAACTAACTTTGGAGTGTCCTTACAGTGAACTGCCTTCATTATAATACTAAAAACCCCACCCCCGGGTCAAAAAGCCCCCTGCCCAGGTTAAGACCCTTCCCTTGAGCGTGTGTAGGATTAGAAGCGTTATTGGTGTATGTTAATCACTAACCAATCATTTTCTAAAAGGCATCTTTGGAAAGTACTAACCCCTGATTTTTACGTATAGAAGGAGCATGAAAACCTGCTGGTGGGGTGCTTGATTTGTGGAAAAATCCCCCAAGCACCGAGGCCTGAAACAGTATCCATCCTGAGCGTGTCAAGATCGTGCTATTGAACACCAGGCACGATTCTGCTTTTCAGGTAACAATCTCACAAAGGAAGTGTGAATAAACTCTTTCGGGTGGCCCTTTTCCCTCGCCCTATAACCATGACATGTGCAAAACATTGAAACCCCCCCCCAGTACTCATAGGGCAGCTGAAGTTTCGGCTTTCTGCAGTCATGGCGAGCACTGGGTCAGGCCCAGGCCTCCCCGAGACTCATGGCCTCTCCTCTCTCCACATCTGCCGACACGGGCCCATCACTGCTGCTTTGGGCCTGAAGGATGGGTCAGAATTCCCCAAGGGAGGGAAACGCTGATACCTTGGGACTGAGGTCATGAGCGGAGTCCACCGGAGCGTCTCCAGCAGACTGAGCAGTGGGGGTACTTGGGAGCAGTCCCCAGCACTTCAGAGCCCCCTGCACTAAGCAGGCAGCAGCACAAAAAGTCATTCTCTGTACCTGGAAAGATTTACTCCACTGATCACCCAGACTTTTTAACTACAAGCAGGGCTTCATTCCAAACCACATCCTCTGCTGTGATGCAGCAACTGTAGCTCCAGGGATACAGCAGGATCTAACAGGGTTTGGGTGCAAATGCCCTCATTTTACCAGAGGATGGAGGCAGCTGTACGATGGCACTGGGCATCACAGTGCCTGGCTTTTCAGAGACACTCCCTGGCCAGGCACAGCCAGAAGTAGGGGCACAAGAGGCCAAAAATGTACAGCCAGAGCAGGCTTTGCAGCAGAGGCCAGAAACTGGAGGTGTAAAGCGCAGTTTGGACTTTAGGAGATGCTTTTTCTGGCAGCGCGTTGCTGCGAGAGGTCCCCCAAGGAAGGGGGAGGAATGTCTGTCAGCGAAGGCTTTCACAGCACGACTGAGCGGAGCCTTGACGAATGAATGCTGGCCAGTCCCCCCACCCCAGGCAGGAGGCTGGAGACCCCTGGGGCCCCTTCGGATGACATGACAGGGCTGCCAAGGTTCCCAGGTGGAGTGAAGCCTCCCGGTGCTTTGACCCGGAGCAGCACCACATGGCAGAGCCAGAGGAAGGCAACACCACTGCACCATCCCCTCCAGAGCCAGCTATGGGCAAAACTCCCTGCAGCACACTGGCTGCTCCTCTGCCTGCCTTAGTCTCCAATTTCAAAACAACTTTTGGCCAAGAAAGCAGAAATTTTCCCAACCAGAACCATTCCTGCTGAACACAGTGGTGCTGGACAGCAGCAGCTTGAGTGTTCAGACCCAACACACTCTTCTCACCAGGCTTTCGGTTTCTGGCCAGCTTGCTTGTTAGTGCTGTTTTCTGATAGGATTTTTACTGGCTGCTGAAAAATATAGACACTATAATCAATCCTAAAGCCTAATAGGTTCAACCAGTATTTGTCAGACCATACACTGGTTCGGCATCGCTGGCCTCTGTTTGGGGCTTGTCTTCCCTCTCTTCCAACAGCAGGTAGGATTCGAGCCTTACATTCATTTTCTCCAGCCCATTTCATTTAGAAGTTTTTCCCAGACACTTCTGTCTGCTTTTAACTGATGTTGTCAAAATGAAGACAGAAAGAAAAAGTCCTAATTTTTCTTTTTTCTTAGTTTCCCCACCCATTTTGTGCCACTTGTTACACAAACTGAATTGCGATTTCCTGTAGTAGCTGAGGATCTCTCCAGTGCTGGGCTCTCAGATGAAGCTCAGCAGCCAGCTCCGGTCTTTGTTGGAGGAACAACATACCTGGGCAGGATGAAGCACTGCTGCTTCAAATCAGGTCATGAGTGACATAAAGGTGGTTCAGGGAAATGCAGCCCCACTAACCAGAAAGTTGCAGTTTGGTGCTGAAAAACATCTAAACAACATCTTCTGAAGGATCTTTTTTCTTTCATGTCCTTCTAGCTACAGAGGAAGGCAATACCCTTTAAACTACCCTCCTGAAAAAAAAAAAAAAAAAAAAAAAAAAAAAAAAATCCAAGACCCTGGAAACTGAAAAGAACAAATCAATATTTTAGCACCATCCTGAATTAGGGATGTTTGCACACAGGATGGCCTCAAGGCACTGGAAGAGGGGCTCCCTGTCAAGAAGGCAGCGCTGTCAGGCGGGGTGCAGACAGGCATCCTCCATCCAGCTGAAGTAGTTTCGTCCATGAAACTCCCCCGCTGGGATTACTGATCAAGGGAAGGCTCCTGAAGAGCCTAACCACTGCCCAGAGTGGCTGGAGCCTGTCGGGCTGACACAATGCCCCAGTGGATTAGGACAGGGACATGCGAGCAGCCCCAGCAGCAATAAAGCAGAGGGTGATAATATCTGAAATAATTCCAGCTGCTTACAAAGGGTTCATGTGGTTGCAATACCTTGGTGCATGTATGAACCACAGCTCCACACCATTTCATGTCTTTAGCAGATTTTGCACCAATGGAGAGGAAGGTACATCCTCTCCCTCCCTGATTTTAGTTTTTCCACGCTGCCGTCCTCAGCACCAGTCCCCCAGGAGCCATAAATGCTCGCATCGCAGAAGGGGAGGAAGGTGCTAAAAGAGGAACACCATCAGTGTGGTCACCTGCCTCGCTGCAGAAGGCACTAGATCTTGCCTAGGGAAAGCCAAATGCTTCCTCAACAGGAGAAGGAATAGCGCAGTCTCTTCTGAGTGCCATGAGCGATGCTGTGGGGGTCGGATACCTTGGACAAAGCCAGGCTGCAGGCCCAGACTCACCTTCCCCCTGGGAGTTTTTGGGGTTGCTGCTGGGTGCCCACATTCGATGAGCCAGCTTGGCTGGAGAGCAAAGTCCTCCCACTCCTACTTGGCAGTTTGCAGGAGGAAGAAACAGAGGCACAGGTGGAGCAACAGGGCTGTCCCACCTACACGTAACCCCGTTTCCGTTTAACCCAGCGGTGCTCACGTTGCAAAGGCCTTCGCTCTTCTGTCAGGAGGTGTGGGAAGCACCCTCAATCCTATCTGACGTGGCTCCACTCTCTCCGCAGGTGAACAGATGCACGCTCTCCCCACCCGCGGGCAGCTGCTGGTTGATAAAGAGTTTCCCCCCCCGGCCAGCCCTGCAGATTGCCCAGGGGAGGCTAAAGGTCTGCCCACTCCTTCCCCTGCTCTGCTCCTGATTTCACACACAGCAGGAAATTTGGAAGGCAACTATTTTTTTTCTTTTTTTTTTTTCCCCTCTTTTTTAAAATTTGCAGTCTGATTCAGAGACTGTTCACGGCACTTGGCAAAGCCTCAAAGTGTTGGCTTGACTGGGAACAACACTCTGGAAGTGTTGGCTGCCTTTCCTGCCGGGATGCAGCCACACTACCCCCTCTAGTTTAGAGCAACCCCTAGCAACAGTGTCGGAGAGCACAGGGCAATCCAGAGCAGTTATCGGCCCTTCTGCTATACCCAGGAAAGACAGCTTGCCTTACCTTGGAGACTAAAGCAACAACCCCTCTCAGAAAACAGATATCAGGAGAGCTTACACATAACAAACTTTTCACTCATTCTGTGAAAAGAGAGTTATACCCTGCTCCAAGCCGTAGCTCCAGATGGCTAAAGCCTTTATGAACAAAACCAGCACTTAGTGATTTATTTGGTTACAATTTCCAGCGGGACTGCAGCCCAGCAGCCCGACACAAACACCGTCAGGAAAGCAGAGGCTGAAGCAATCGTACTCTAGTAAATCACAGCTACTTAGAAGTGACAAGATTTTAAGAAGCAGGGAGGCAGGAGGGCTCTGTGGTTTGGAGAAACATTCCGAGCACACTTTGATGCTCTCCTCTCCTGCCACGAGGGAGGGAATACTTGTTCTTATGGACAGTAAAATACTTACAGATATTCCCGTCATCACTGGTGCCAAACTCTGACACCCTCATGCAACAGCACCATTACACATGGGAAAAAAACCCCACACGACTTCCAGTGCTGGTTTTGCCAGCCAGTGAGGTGTGAAGAAATGATTTCTCATTCTCTCTTCAGTCCTTCCAGGCAGCCAGATTTTCTCTGAGGTTCACAGAAGGGTTTCTGAAGGCCACATAGGGAACCCAAAGTGGTGGAGAGCAAACCAGGCGGCTGTCCAAGGCCGGGAAGAAGAGGGCTGCATTCCAGTGGAGAAACCATGGAGCAGCCTTCTCACTTAGCTGGAAGCTCATGCCTTGCCTCCTTCCCTCATCCTGGCTGTTAACAAACTCACCCCCAGCCCCATCCCACCCACTCTCATGGCCAGTGCTGCTCCCATCCCTGACCTCTCACCCCCAGTCTCCTCCTCACAGCCCAGACTTCACCCTGAGGTTCAGGCAGGTCAGGCACAGCTCAGCTTTATTTTCTCTTTTTTGGTTTAATGTTTTTTTCCCACCTCGTAAGAAAGAGTTTATGCTTTCTAGAACTTCTGCTAATACCTCCTTCCTCTTTTTGGCCCATTTGTGACGCCTCTTTGGTCATGTTCACATCCTTCCTCTTTTTGGCCCCTTTGTGACACCTCTCTGGGGATGTTAGCATAATGCAGCAAGCAGCTGGGCACCGAGAGGGACAGAGGAGGAATGGGAGTGGCAGAGCACTGGACTGGGCAAGAGGAGCTCAGCACGGGTACCCGCCTGCTCTGCAGGGCGGTACTGGGCTTGCCACTCCTTCGGGCGAGGGTGAAGGGCAGCTTTCTCGCCTCCTCCGTGATATCTGCCCGCTGCCAGGCAGAGGCAGCTCCCTCCCAAGGCAGGCGGGAGCCCCACACGGAAGTCAAGTCACTGCTGGGTTCACATGAGACCTCAAGAGAAGAAGCTGGGGAAGGAAACCAAAACTCTGCGAGAAACTCCAGGAACCTCGTGGCTTGTTCTACCTGCGGCCTCAGCTTCCCTGCCTGCCCGGCAGGCAGCTCCTCTGGGACCTGCCCGGGAGAGCCAAAGCAGAGAGCGGGAAAGAGAAAGGCTCTGCACGTCACCATGCAGGTAGGAAACAGAAACTGCTCAGCTGGTTCCGATGTTATTTTTCAGCACCTCTGAGCCACCTGTAGCTGGGAAACGAGGGCCTCACTAAGCTCTGATCTCTACTGCTCTGTGCTGTCAGCCTTTAAGATGCTCAAAAAGCAGAACAGAACTGCCATTCCTCGGTCCAGCCGGCAATCTCACGCCTCCCACAAGCACACGCCGGGGCAGCACTGAGCCCACGCACCAGCCCAAGGGGCAGCGGGGTCACGCACGGCCCCGGGTGCTGCTACCAGAGTTCAGAGGTGGCAGAGCATGGATCAGAGGAGGATGGTTTGGACTGAGACCAGCTCTTTACCTTATATAGGCCCAGAAAAAGGCACTGTGAATAGCAGCGGAGGTGACAGCCCCAGAGGTTTTGGGAGCACTTGAAATAAAGCAAGGGGAGAGGGGGAACTGCGAAGTTTTGTTTCTCTAGCTTGAAAGAAAAGATGCAGTTTTCTTTTAGTCAAAAACTCAGGCAAACACTCTAACATCGGGGCAGGTACTGAATGTCCAGGTGTACCATCTGCCTGTTCACTTAAAGATTGTCCCATTTCTTAGGAAACTCTTAGGTAAGGTGGAAGTGCTCTAAGGGACCCATTCATAAGAAAAATCCCCAAGATAAAAGTAATTTGATCATCTCAACGCGAGTGATGGGAACCACCCAAACTCTCCCCAGTCCACAATTGGAAAGAAAAACAAGGATGCCTGATCCTATCTGGGTCCTTCACCTGAGTTACTGATGCTGGTGACTGTACCCTCAGCCCAAGGGTGCTGTCACCATTCTCTGAAGAACCCAGTGCCCTGCACAGGGCAGGGGGCTACCCGGGGACAAGGACCCACTGGCACAGCTGGAGAAAAACCAGACACGCTTTATGGTGCACAAAACCTTTTAGCATTGACATTCCTGCTTCCGTCCTGCCAGTTACTTCTCCTACACCTTTGCACAGCGTGTCTCCAACCCTGCTCCAACCACAGGGCAGGGAAGACTGAAACAGGCACCATCCTTGAGAGCAGGGACTAGAGTCCAGGGTTTATAGAGCCATTTCAGAGCCGAGGTGGCCTCACCGGCACATGGGGCTGATCCACTGCCTTGTGCTGCCAGCACACAGCAGCCACAGACAGTGTCACTGGTCCCCTAGAATTAAAAAAACAGGTGTGGGAGGAGTAATGATCTAAAGTCCCTGCCCTCTGCAGCCATCCCTGCGTACAAGCCACATCTGGCCCCAAGAGCGGGCTGGGCTCCCACCCAATGGTCCAGGTAGCCAAGGCTCAGAGCCGCCTTCACCTCGCAAGGCCACCGGCAGCCACCGGCATGAACCAAACCTGCCGAAACACCGCACGTGCGTCTCCATGGGCTGGCAAATCCCCCACTGCTGCTGAATACAATTTTTTATCCGTTACCTCTCCAGAGGTGGGTACTGGGAATTGCCTGTGCTAATCTGCAAATAATCCACAAATTCCTCTTTATTTACAGCCCTAATGCGGTGTCTGCAGAGCTAGTACCAGTGGTAAATCACGTTGCTATGGGAACACAGAGAAAAGCCAGACCCTGCTACCGCAACATCATTATTGCCTAGAGAGCAGCCCGAGGAGCATCCCCACCAAGTCTTAGGGCTTGACTGCAAAATTAGAAGGCAACCAGTCCCTCCTGGGATTAAAATCAGATCTTGCCGTTTCAGGAACATGGAGAAGTAGGGGCAGGGTCTGGCTGCATTGGTTCTGGGCAGGCCGTGGTGTTTTGACTGGGAGTGCTGGTGGAGGAAGGATGCTGTGCTGGAGCTCTGCAGGCTCAGCCCCGGGGCTCTCCCTGCAGGCACAGGCAGGGGCTGGGAGCACCCTTGGGAAACAGGGGGTACAGTTCCCACCATGCCAGCCTGGTGGCCGAGGAGGTGCCAGTGTCGATCCGTGCTGGCATCAGAGCCTCAGTGGGATCTGAGAACCCAGAGAGGGGCCACGGGCCTGGCACAGGGAGAGCTGCACACCAGCCAGGTGCTTCCCTGCCTGGGGAGACCCACCCGAGCCAAAACCTGCTTCTCCCACCCAAAGTCTGCGTAGAACTTTGGCAGAGCAGATGACAGCACCGTAACCCTCGCTCTGCATCTTGACCTAAATCGAGCTAGCTTTTAGCAGGGAGAAGTTCTCATGGCAACAGCACCTTGAGGGGAGAATATCCCTCTTCTCAAACCATCTCTCTTTGGCTGTCTGCCGGTCAGTCTCCTCACAGCTCCTTTGCTCCGGGTGAACCCCAGGCCCTCACACCACATGAGGGAGGAGCTGGCAGAGCATCTCAGCCCTTTCCTCATCCCTCCTGCTCCCATGGCCTCATTCTTCCATGGAAGTTTGGGATCTAGATCTTACATCAGGACACGGTTGCACCACCACCGTGCTGCTCCCCACATTGCAGCTGGATGAACTGGTCTGGCTGGCCACTCTTTCAGGACCCGACATCTTCGGTGGCAACACCAACTGATGATATCCCCATCCCCTGGCAGCTGCTTCCCGCCTGTGTGCCATGTCACTGTGCCCTTGGGAGCAGCAGTGTAACTGTTTGTGGGGCTGCACCGTGAGTCACATCAGAGAATGGAAAAAAACACCCAAAACAAAACAAAAAATGCTCGGTTTAAGATGTAATCCATTCCCTGCCCTTGTCACAGCAGCCTACAGAGAGTGTCTTTATCAAACTCACTGTGTTCCCTGGGATCCGAAGCCTGGCATGCTCTTCCCAATCTATTAAAGGACTGGATGGACTAATCCCCTCTGCCTAGGAGGTGACTGTGGCTGCAAACCCAGGCTGAGCTCACACCCAGGAAGCCGGGCGAGAGGACAGGGACAAAGTGGTTTAGAAACTGCCATGCCCACCGGGTCCAGGCCATCCGAGGGTGCTTGCTGAAGCATCCTTCGGTGGTAGGGCACCGTGGGCTGGGACACGGCGCTGGGCAGAGGGCAGCTGCTGCTGCAGCGCTGCCTGGTTTCCTTCCTGCAGCACCAGCGCTGCACCGCTTGGCTGCCTGAGCTTAATTAGGCTTAAAGAGCAAAGGTGAGCCATGGCGTCTGCCCCACGCAGCCTCTCTCTTCAGAGCCAGTAGCACATGGGAGGGAGCAGGCAGGAGCCAAGTGGCAGCAGCTCACAGTCCCCCTCCATCCCCTGGCCACAGGCTGAGGAAGCCGAGGTGCTTTCCAAGAACTCGTTTTTCACCCGCTTTGCTGCAGGGTTGTGCAAGGCTCCGATTGTCCGTGACCCACTCTCCCTTCACTGGAATTTAAACCTGCCTTCCCCACCCTTGCCAAAAAGCCAACAATGTTCTAATCTGAAAGGAACAACTAAAGAGGGGAAAAGGTTGATTAAAGATTGTAAAAACCACTGTAGTGTGGAGGGTTGAGTGTTGACACTCATCCAGTACCAGTGTCAGGACATTAGTTGAAACAAGAAGGACCAAAGTCCAGAACAGAGTCAGGGTTTTGTTTTTCCCTCCCGTCCGGCTCCTCTGCGACTCCTAGGTGCCATAAATGTTGGTCACTCAGTGAGTTCAACAGGAGGCTGCAAACCCCCCCAGAGCCCCAGCCTCTCCACGAGCCCAGCACATGAAGCCATGTTTGGCTGGGGAAAACCAGAGAGCAGGAGCGCAGGGGAGAGGGTCTCAGACAGGGCTGCTCCCCCCCTCCTGCCCCCCGCCCCTCCTGCCCAGGCATCCTGGCGGCTGGGGGCAGAGCACTGGCCCAGGTGGTCTCAATCTGAGCATGTAAGGCAGTTTTATCCACCCAAGCACCACTCACCCACACTCCCCACCCAGAGCGGGGCCACTCCATCCCGATGCCCTCGGTGGGTGCCAGGCCAGGACACAGCGGTGCTGTCCAAGTGTGGTGGGGAGAAGTTTTCTCCATGCCCAGGAGCTCCCAGGGAGCCCGCTGAAGCCTTTGCTGGGTTTCTTTTCTGCAGGATGAAATTCTGTTGACTCCCTGGAGGGATTTTCCTGTCGAAGACACAGACCCATTCGCCCCCCCGGTAAGCTCTGCTCCCTCTGCACACCCAGCAAGTTCAGCCCAGCTCAGAGAGGGGAGCGGGGCAGTGTCAAGGCAGCAGCTGCCCCAGTTTCCCCATCCCCATTCTGCTCACTCCCAGTTTCCTGGGTCCCTCTACACAGTCACAATGATGGTCCAAACCTCTGAGAAACTGGAGCTGAGAGGGAGAGCTCTCAGCTTGCCACCCCCTTAAATTCCCTGGCATTTTCTGTGGGCAGGATGAAGAGAAGTGGGATTTTGTCCTAGTAAGCGACATCCACGAAGTGGGCAGTGAGAAGGAGATCAAGAGGAAGAAGTTCCTGGATGAGTTGAGCAAGAAGGGGTTCACCATCAAGGTGAGGGTCTGTAGGAGGAAAAGCCAAAAGTCGCTTGGCTTCCTTGTGGTACCCAGGATCCAAGTTTGGGCTTCTGCATCCCAGGGGACGGGAGAGGCCTGAGCCATTTTGCTGCTCTTCACATCAGGGCTGGAAAATAAACCACTCGCTCAACCAGGGGAGACCCCAGCACAGGGACTCATGCAGCCCCTGGCCCCCGTGGCTCTGCCTCCTTCCCTGGCTCTGCCATCATTGTTCTAACAGCCCTTCTCTTCTACCCACTAGAAAATTGAGGACAAGAAGCTCTTTTATGGAGTCCGTGCCCCAAAACAGATCTTCCAGAAATACCAGTGGCTCCTGAGGAACCCCGACAGCCGGCTGCAGAGCTCTGATGTCCATCAGAACATACCAGTGACCACCAGGTGGGTGCTGGGCTAAGCTACTGACTTCCATCACCTTGCACTCTGCTTTCTCCACCCAGCATCCACTTTCCAGCCCAGCTCAGAGCTGTGCCAGGCTCTTCCTTTCCCACAGAAGGCCACCTCCACCTCCCATTTGCTGGCTTCCCACTGTCCACAGCCAGCTCCCCGTTTCTTCCCCACTTCCTTCCCTGGATTTTGGTGCACACCTCCTCCCTTCCCTCCCCTGTTTCCCAACACGTCTGTATCCCCAGAGCAGCCATTAACCCCAGTTTCTCTTTGCCCAGGATACGGATTGTGAACTTCATCCTGCAGAACACAATGACGCCCGACCTCGGTAAGGGCCCGGGCCCACAGGGGTGATGCTCAGACTGGATCTGCAGCCAGGCTCCTGCCCCAGGGTGGGCACAGGCACCCCCAGCTGTCTCGGCCCCCCAAGAGGATGCAGGGAGGGAGAGAGCCAGGGTGCAGCTCCAACCAGTAAACCTGCTGCTGCCTCCAGAGGCTAGGACACTGGGCCTGCAGGACTCAGCAGCAGCTCCCTCTCCCCACGCTTCTGGCCTCAGCCTCCCACTGCCACTCCCCCACGTCCCCAGAAGAGCTCACCCATCCCCCTGGCAGCGGGGTGCTGGCTCTCTAGCTCCCCTAAGGACTTGCCTACCTGGCTTGCTCCCAGAACCAGCCACGACGCAGCCTGGGGCAGAGTAGCACAGCTGCAAGGATTAGTGCTGATCCCTTTGAACAGCTCAGCCTCTCCCAGGTGGTTTGGGATTTTTTTCCCCCTCAAAGGCTCCAGAAAAGGTTTGGGATGATTCTGCCTGGCAGGGAGCATGTATGATAAGAGCAAAGCTCCACTAATCCTCCCCCTTCTGCTCTGCTACCAGAGAAGCTGCATGACCTGGTGAAGAAGAAGGTCTTTGAGACAACGTTCCCCCTGCACGAGGTGAGACCGAGCCCATGGGTGACTGGGAGGAAAAGCCACAAGAGGCAGAGGAGCAGGACCGGGTGGGGAGACCTTTGGGTAACAGGGACTGCACCAAGACCTCTCTGGGTGGGGGGCGTGAGTGCATCCTGACGGCAGCCTGAGAGCTGGGCTGGGGATTAAGGTCGTCCTAATATTCCTGTATCCAACCAACTTCTCTGCTCTCCAGAAAGAAGAGTTGAGAGAATTCCTGAAGGAGAAATGGGCTCGCTGGAGAGTTATATTTTGCAAACAGCCGATTGAGAAGATCAGGTAACACAGGCAGAAGAGGCATGGCAGATCCTTCTAACCACAAGGTCCCACCTGAAACCAGAGCGCTTTATGGCCTTTGCCAGGCTCCTCTGTTTTCTTTTAAAACATTAGTTTGAACCTGGCTCTTTTTTCAATCATTGGGCTGCTTCTGAAGCCTGCAGAGTTATTGGCCTAAGGGGTATCCCTGTGGCACCGAGCTCCATCTGCTAATTTTGCAGTATGGAACAACCCTCACATCTGTAGGGTTTTTAATTAGCCCATTTCGTTTTCAGCCTGACGTTCCCACGTTCAAAGGGAAGGTGAGCGGGGAACAGAGCAGCAGTGCAGCGCACCCAGCCTGGGGCAGAACTTGGGGCAGTGAAGGCAGCAAGGGGCTCTGTAATTGCATAAAACCCGGAGAAGAGCACAGCTCTTGTTCGGGAGGGGGAAGAAAACAAACTCTCCATTTGAGGAGGAGGAGGGCAAAAAGAACATGCTACTTTGTAAAGTTGCCAGTGGGCTCTCTAGGGAGGTGAGGTGTTAAATGGAGACGTGCTCCCCTTCCACCGCAGTTCACACGTCTAGCAGGGGCACTGTGGGGCTCTTGATGCCTCCGTGGTGCACGAGGTCAGACAAGACCCCCTTTCTAAGGGCAACACATCATGACTTGTTGTGTCACAAAAGGACAGTAAAAAATTGGGGGGGTGGGGAGAGTGTTGGGGTTTTTGTTTGCTTTAAACAAAGGCCAAGGAGCATATTACCACCTTTGTAGGAAGTTAATTCCTCTGGAACACAGGGGAGGAGGCAGGCCCATTAGTTCATAGTTCCCATCATCTCTCACCGGTGCCTCCAACCCTCTTACCCACACCAGAAAATCTGAGATACTACTGCCATGAGACATGAAATCATTGCAGGGAGATAGCTGAGCCCAGAAGGAGAAATTGTTCTGGTCTGAGGAACATTGCACCCCGCAGCCCCCTTATCCTCCTCAAGCCCGGCATTTCTAAAATTGTTCTGTAGGCACCAAGGTGGAAGAACATTTTCTAGTGACTCCTGACAACGTGGTCCCTTCCACTGGCCACAAAATACGTCTCCCCTTTCCTTCTAGGTGCTATTTTGGCGAGAAGGTGGCCTTGTACTTTGCCTGGCTGGGCTGGTACACCTACCTGCTGGGATTCGCTGCGGTGGCTGGGCTGGTAGTCTTCGTGGCTGGGATTACTGTGTTCAGTTCCAGCCAGGTGAGGTAAGGCAGCTGGGGATGCCGAAGTCCTGTTCATGAGCCCTCACTATGCTTATGACTTGGAGCCAGTTACTCCCCTCTATGCCTTTCTCTCTAGCAAGGAGATCTGTGAGGCCAATAACACCATCATGTGCCCTCTCTGCGACCAGAAATGTCCGTTCTGGCTCCTCTCTGACACCTGCACCTATGCCAAGGTAGGCAGCCCCCTTCCCAAGAGAGGCTGCAGCCCCCCTATCACAGGGGGGACCAGGGCAGCAGGAGGAGCACTGAGCATGGAGGCCTCTCCCCAGACCCCAAGGTGCCACAGCCCCCATGCCCCGCTGCCCCCATCACTCTTCCTTCATCCATTCCAGGTCACTCACATGATTGACAACGAGGGGACAGTTGTCTTTGCCATGCTCATGGCCATCTGGGGTAGGTGTCACAGAATCATCCAGGTTGGAAAAGCCCTTGAAGCTCCTCCAGTCCAACCATTAACCTCACCCCGACCCTTCTCAACTCCACCAGATCCCTCAGCGCTGGGTCAACCCGACTCTTCAACCCCTCCAGGGATGGGGACTCCTCCTCTGCCCTGGGCAGCCCATTCCAACGCCCAACAGCCCCTTCTGCAAAGAAATCCTTCCTCAGAGCCAGTCTGATCCTGCCCTGGCGCAGCTTGAGGCCATTCCCTCTTGTTCCTTGGTTCAAGAGACTCATCCCCCCTCTCTGCACCCTCCTGTCAGGGATCTGTAGAGGGCCATGAGGTCTCCCCTCAGCCTCCTCTTCTCATGCCAAGCACATGCAGCCTGGGAGAGGGAGCAGCCCACTGTGGCTTAAGGGGAGAGTAGGTGGAGGAAAATGGGACAGCAACACAGCTTCACCATTCAGGGGCTTTTTAGTCCTTATGTCCTCTTCTCCCAGGGCCATCAATTCACCTTCCAGACAAGGCAAGGAACAAAATCACCCCAACAATTTCCTTCAGCTCCCTAAACACTCCTTACCTGCCCTGCCTGAAAGCTTTTACTCCTTCACCCACCACAACCTCCTGCAAAGCACCCAAGGGCCTCTCTAGCCAGGCTTTTCTGGCAGCTGCCTGTAAGTGGGGGCAGCTATGGGACGGAGGGAGCAGCAGATCCCTCATTAACCTCCCAGCATTGCTGCTCGATCTCTCAGCTGCAGTGGAATGAGCACAGGAGCCCAGTGGGCTCGGGGATGGTATGAACCCACCCTGGCAGAATCCCCCACAGCCATCCCCAAGTGTCCCAGTGCTCTCCTTCCCCCCACAGCCACCGTGTTCCTGGAGCTGTGGAAGAGGCAAAGAGCCACCGTGGTCACAGACTGGGACCTGTACAGGTGGGATGAGGAAGAGGTGAGGACATCATCATTCCTGCTTAGTGCTTCCCTTCTCGGGGCAGGACTCAGCTGGATCCACAGAAAACACAGGTCACAGGGAGCTCCTTGCTCAGCTCAATCTCTGTAGCTGTAAACATCTAATGGAGACACTTAAACAAACAGCAAAGCTAACACCTGACAGTCCTAGGAGAGTCCTGGGAGAGATGAAGCCCTTCGGAGATTTAAGCAGATGCTAGCCACCTCACTGCAGCGCTAGTCACCTCTTCACTGCACAAGGGCTTGGACTCAGTCAGGATTGGCCACGCTGTTGTGTGTTGGGTTGGGTGTTCATCCCTGTCCTTCTCTGCTGCTGCTCATCCCACATCGACACAACGACCGCTGGGCTTTCCACTGCCTGGGCACAGATCTGCTGGATCCTTTCTTTCTCTTTATTATTTTTTTTTTAATTTATTTTAAGGAGGAACTGGCTCTGGAGCTGATCAACAACCTGCAGCACGAACCCCGGCAGTACCAGCACTCCTACTTCCGCAGCACCATCATACTCCTCTTGGTCCTGGTGATGGTATGTGCCAGGGTGACCGCAGGAGGATCTGGTTTAAGGGCACACAGGCTTTCCTCCTTCTCTCCCTACTCTTCTGCAAGAACAGCACCTCTGAGTGTCCATTGCTGAAGCCAAAGCAGGACCCAGGTTGTTCGGGCAGGTTCATGCCCATCACAAGGGTCCGGGGGCCTCCCTGTGCTCGCTGGGCCAGTGGGAGAGGCTGACCAGGCTCTGGGGATCTGGGCTGATGGCCCTGCTCCTGCAGCGGAAGGCAGTGAGGAGCAAGGCAGGAACACAGAGGGTAGGAAGAGGCAAACCCTTGATGCCCTCGCTCCTCCCCATGGGCCAGTGGAGCAAGTCTAGATGAGTATTTCATAGACATCCACCCCATGAACCCCCCACCCTCAGCTGGAGAGCACTGGCTTGCATCTGGGGCCACATCCAGATGAGCTCTGGGGTTTGCCAGGCTGGGGGTCCTCAGGTGAGATGGCGCACACACATCCCCCACATGGCTTCTCCCCAGCCCGCTGCCTCCTCCACAGATCGCCGTGCTGATCGGCATTGCCCACGCGCTCGTCATTTACCGGGTGGTAGCCACGGCCTTCTTCACCCAGAGCAACTTTGACTTCCTCCGCGAGCAGGCCAACACAATGGCGGTGATGACAGGGGCTGTGCTGCACTACATCACCATCGTCATCATGACCAAGGTGCGGAGTGAGACACGCAGCTGGCAGCGGGTCTACTTGCTTTTCCACCATCAACCCTCCTCTCTCGCTTCATCCTGCAGGTCAACAGGCGCGTGGCTCTCTTCCTCTGTGACCTGGGTAAGGGAAACAGGGGGCACCCACAGCGCCCAGCTGACCAGCACCCCCCTGGTGAAGGGCCCCTTCTTCCCCAGCTCATGGCTCTGAGGGACCTCCCTGCCTAGCTGGGCTCAGCTCCAACCAAGGGCTCAGGTGAAGGGCAGGGAAGTCTCTGCGAGAGGCAGGGACACCCTTCCAACCTTCAAAGAGCCACTGTGGCGTCTGCAGGGGAGCAGGGTAAGGTCCCACCGCTCTGTGACCAAGTCCCTGGGCCTTGCTCCCTTCTCCAGAGAAGCCACGGACCTTCTCCCAGCGCGAGAACAACTTCACCGTGAAGATCTTCACCTTCCAGTTTTTCACCAACTTCTCTTCGCTCATCTACATCGCTTTCTTCCTGGGACGGTGAGTGGTGGCTGGGAGCCCAGGGGGAACCTAGGTTTGGGCTGACTCTCCCCAGGCTCTAGGGACAACCCAGTCCCTTCACGCTCCCCGCCAGGCACAGGGACCCCACTGAGGACCTCAGGAGGGCCGTGACTCTTCCCCGTGGGCACAGTGGGCAGGGGAAGGCCCTTGCCTCTCTACCAGTGCCCCAAGGATGATGCACCTGGGTGCTCACCCCAGCGGGTTCAGCAGTGGGGCTCAACAGGTATCGCCGTTGTTGCTTCCCTGCTCAGGATCAACGGCCACCCAGGGAACTACGTGCGTGTTGCTGGCAAGTGGAGGCTGGAGGAGGTGAGGGACTTGCCACAGAGATCCCCGACCCCACGCCACGGCTCCTACACTCCCTTTCCGTATGGCCCAGTGCACCTCTGGGAATCTCAGGTTCCTCCTGTGGTACCTGCCGTGGCCAAACAGCCCCTTGGGCCAGGCCACCTCACTTGCAGAGCACAACTCCCCTCTCTTGTCCCTTGGTAGTGCCACCCCAGCGGCTGCATCACCGACCTCTTCATCCAGATGGCCACCATTATGCTGCTCAAGCAGACCCTCAGCAACATTGTGGAGTACCTTGTCCCGTAAGCTTCCCTCCAGCCTGCATGGTGCTCTCCGGTGCTCCTGCATGTTCAGGACAGCTTCCCAGCTCTTGGAGAGTAACTCCAGTCTTTGGGCCAAGATTCCCTCCTCCGCTCCCAAGGTTGCCACCAGCAGGGTTCAGCCCTGCTGTCACCACAGGCGTCGTATGAGTTGCCCCCTTCCCTTGCAGCTGGGTGTGCTACAAGCTACGCAAGAAGCAGCAGCGCCCCAAGAAGAGAAGTGTGATGTTAGGAGAGGAGGAGGAAGCTGAGGACCCCTGCAAAAGGCACTGGCTGAGCAACTACCAACTCAATGAGGTCAACGTCTTCAGCTTGTTTGATGAGTTCTTGGAGATGGGTACGTAGGGCAGGGGGTGGCGTGAGGAGGGCTGGGGGTGCAGAGCCACGGGTGCTCCTTGGTTGGAGAGCACCTGGTGCTGGGGAGCCTACATGTAGGCAGAGGAGAGCTCCAAGACCCAGCTCTGTGCCTGGCCCTGCCCCAGGAACTCTGGCACACTGAGGAGATCATTCCCAAACCCAAGGAGAGCAGACAGCAGTGCTGGTCTTGGGCCCCTGCCTTGGACCTCCCTCTCCCTCCAGGAGAGTCACTGTGATGGCTGCAGCCCCAGGGCGGTCCCTCTGCCTGTCTGGCCCAACCCTGCGGAGCCCCCACAGATCCCCCTCTCCAGCAGCCCTGTGGAGTCCCCCAGACAGGTCTATCTCCCCCTTTTCCCCCTGCAAAGCCCCTCTGACACAAGCCACAAAGCAGGACAAACCCAGAGAGCAGTCAGGACCCGGGGGACATCCCCTCTGCAGTGGCTTCACACCACCACCTAGTGTTTTCACCCCCCCGCAGTGATCCAGTACAGCTTCACTACCATTTTTGTCGCCGCCTTCCCCCTTGCACCACTGCTGGCTTTCTGCAACAACCTCTTTGAGATCCACCTGGATGCCATCAAGATGATGCGGCTGCACCGGCGCATGGTGCCCAGGAAGGCCAATGACATTGGTGAGATGGGGCCCGAGGAGCCCTCTCCATGCTGCCCGTGCGAATGGTGCTGGTGTTCAGCCCCTTCTCCAGCGGGGAGCCCTCGAGCATCCCTTTGCTGGGGACTGGGATCCCTTCGCTGTGGAGGCCGGGGAGCACAGGGAGACCTGGGGGCTGGGGAAGGAGGAGCAATTTCAGACCTTGTAGAGGCCGAGGGGCAGCCTGGAGGCCTCCTTCCTTGGCCTCTTCTGGCCGTGGCAAACCTGGCCTTCAGCTGGGGACTGCAGGGAGCTGCCAAGGGGACTCACATGCTGCTGCTCTCCGCAGGAATCTGGCTGCAGGTCCTGGAGGCCATTGGCATCCTGGCTGTCATTGGGAACGGGCTGGTGATTGCCATCACGTCTGACTTCATTCCTGTGCAGGTCTACAAGTACACATACAGCCCCTGCATGATGAAAAACACCACTGGTGTGGAGTGAGTGCTGCCAGGTGGCCGCTCGCAGCTCTGCTTGCACTGTCCCTGACTACAGCATCCCTGGTTGCCTCAGGGCCGCCAGGGCAGAAGCTCAAGGCAGCTGAGCAGTCCCCCACAGTGGGGTGGGGGGAAAGGGGAGCAGGGGAGGGTTTTCCAGATGTCCCAGTTGGCCTCCCGCTCGCATCATCCCTGTGGTGGGTGAACTGGGAGCCCTGAGGGAAGAGAGCACCATGCTGTGTTGGAGAGCTGCAGGACTGTGGTCTCCTGCCCTCCCCCTTTTCCTCCAAGCCTTGGCTCACTGGCCGAGTTCAGTCTAACTGGACAGAAGTCTCAGAGACACTAATTTCCCCCTGGCTTTGTAAAAATGGGCAACTGGGGAGGGGAGGAAGAGCCCCACAGAGCTGCTGGCTTCCCCAAATTGGGAGGCTACAGCCTGTGCTCAACCATACTGCCAGTCACCTGAGAATCCACACACCAGGGAAACGGTAGAAACAAAAGTTGCAGGCAGAGGGGCTTTGTAGCCATCAGAGGCTTCGAGTGCCCTAGAAGACACAAGAGCTGCAGCTTCGGTTGGGGCGTGCCACAGCCCCACACCGTGGCCACGGACCGGGAGCTCCCCCCTTCGCCAACCTGACCCTTCTCCCCGCAGCTGCTCCACCGGCTACATCAACCACAGCCTCTCCGTCTTCCGCATCCGGGACTTCGAGCCCTATACGAAGGTGCCCGAAATGCTGCCGGACTTTGTCAGGGACGAGATCAAGGAGTGCAGGTAAGAGCAGCCCACAGCCGTTTCTCAGTAGCACGGCAAACCCCTGCCCCTCACCGTGCTGCCCAGCCGGCAGAGGGGCAAGAGGCAGAGCAGAAGCTGCTGGGGCTCTGCGGGGACCCCACGGAGAGAGCCGAGGTGGGACGCGATGCCTGGCACAGGGGAGCGGGGCTGGCACCAACGGGGCTGTGCCGCAGGTACCGGGATTACAGGAACGCTGACGACTATGGCTACACCGTCCAGTTCTGGCACATCTTCGCAGCCCGGCTCGCCTTCCTCATCCTCTTTGAGGTGAGGTGGGGGAGAGGCTGGGGCAAGCAGTGGGGGCAGAGGGGAACGGGCCAGGTCCATGCCACTCACATGGGCCATGTTAACATCCTGGAGGCCACTCACTGCCCGCGGTGGCCACCTTTGCTTTCTGCAGCATGTGGCTCTGTGCGTCAAGCTCATCGCAGCTTGGTACATCCCCGACGTCCCCCAGTCAGTTAAGAACCAATTTCTGCACAGAAAACACAACAACCTTCGGAAAGAGCTGAGGTGGGTGATGCCCCTGAGGGTGCTGGGGCTGCTGTGCTCCAGCAGACCTGCCCGGCTATCCCTGAGCCCCTTGACCAGGAGAACCCCACCACCACCTGACCGTGGTTCCTGCTCTCGGGGCAGCTCCTTGTCCCCCTTCCCAGGGTCCTTCTCCCCTGGCTTTCAGCCTATCCTCCACTACCTGGGCCCTACAGCAGAAAATGTTCTTTTTGAGGTCAGCTGCATTACCCACAAATGAGGACACATCCCCCCCAGGCTGTGACCACACTCACTCACCCAGGTGCCTGGATTTTAGGAACTTGAGTCCTGCCTGAGGCAATTCAATGCTAGTACTCACCAGAGTAAGGGTTTGCTTGGCTTTGGCTTTTCTTTCAGAAAAAGAAAAGCTCCAAGTTAAAACAAAGAGCGATTTTGCCCAAATTTTCCATTTAAATTTTTTTTAAAAAAAAAAAAAAAAAGTATTTCAGCTGGAAACAGAACCAGTGTAGCCAAGAGCCACAAGCTGGGCCCTCCACGGGCTAAGCCCTGCACGCAGGGGGGCTTGGTCTGTCCCTTTTCACTGCCACCTTGTCCCAGCTGCCACCCCAAACCCCAGGTGAGAGCGGAGGGAGCGGGGCACGGGAAGCCCCACACCACCATGGTGCAGCTTCCAGGTGCTGCCTGCCCGCTGACACAGGGGTTGCCCACCAACAGGGATTGCCCACAAATAGCACATCACTCTTCCTCCACTTCTTTTTGGCAAAAGGCTCCGTTCCCACCCAGAATATTCCTCCACACCACCCTATGGCTTTCCAATTCGGAGAGTTCCCCAACGCCCATCTCCTTTCTCCCCCAGCATGATGGAGTATTCCACCGAGGTCTAGCCGCCGCTCACCAAGGGAATGAGAAACACAGACTCGAGCCCCCCGCCCAGCCTGGCAGGGCCGTGGACACGGGAGGAACGGTGGCAGCACAGCCCCTGGAGACGGGCCATGTGTCCCGGCTGTGAGCGAGCGTGGACTTGAGCTGTGGGAAGCCACAACGTGATGGTGGCAGGAGCGGGATGCTTCCCAACCCGCACGGCCAGAAGGAGGAAGGAGGTTGTGGCAGAATCGAGGATGGCCCTTCCCCACACACCGAGGTGCTGGGGGAGAGCTCTGGCACCGGGACAAACCAGGGCGCAGCATCCAGATGCTGCCAGATGCTGCTCTGCAGGAGATGACCTGGCTTCCTCATCAGTCACTGCCCTGATGTGCCACGCAGCATCACAGCAAAAGCCAGTCACCTCATGCCAGGTTCCCTCTCCAGCTCTATTTTTGAACTCTGGCCCCTTTCTCCTCTGCCTTCCGTGACTTCCCTGCTCCTGCACTACCAAGAAACTTGAGTCCTTCCTCTTTCACCACAGCCAGCACAATCCTCCCTTTGGTGCCAGCACCAAGTGGCTGCAGCTCCAACCTGCTGTTTCCATGGACACTGACAAAAATTAAGTTTGTAGCGGACTGGGTTCTGCTTGGCGGTGCCTCTGCCCCAAGCACAGCCGACAGTTGTGCCTGGCTCAACCACCACAAGCAAAAGGGTAAATAAACATAACACCTGCACAGTCACAAGCGGCTAGATGGCCAGCTGCCGTTGAGTCACTGAATTCACTGGTACCATCTCTGGTTCCCTTCTCTACATCACCCAAAGATATTGTCCCCCTGAACCCCTTTTTCTCCTGATGTGGGTGATCAGACAAGGCTGGAGCTGAAGCATCTGTGTGTAGCCTGGGGTCAGGGCTGAGGCTGGGTGCTGGCTGGGGAGATGCTTAAAAGTTGGTGCTTTGGCCATGCTCAGTGGAAAGACCACCTGTGAAACATGCTGGGGTAATAGCAATACTCACCCACAGAAAATCCCGAGCGACAGGGCTAGAAGGGTTCTCTTGCTCCAGAACACCACCTGCAAGCCTAAACCCCAACCCTGCTGGCCTGACGCTTCCCCACCCCTTCCCTTCCACCCTCCAGCGCCAGGGGGCTGCCCCCTGCTCTCAGTGGGGTAGGGGGGGGCTTTGTCTGTGGCCAAGTGCCGGGGTCACCTCCCATGGCTGGTGCCACAGCTGGCACCAGGCCTTTGGGAATATACGCACGTTCCCAGCCTCCTGCCTTTGCTCTGATGGCTCCGCCTCCAGTGGCTCCTCCACCGACTGAAGGCAGAGTTATTTGTGCTGAAGGAACAAAGTCTCAAGTCTGTCGCTGCCCAGAAATGATAACGGGCCCTCAAATGTTGCAGAAACAGCCCTTTGATGCCCATGAGGTTCCCCACATTATGTCAGGCCCATGCAGCCTCACTGAGCTGCATTTGCAAATGTACACGGAAAAAGCTGCTCTGCTCATTTTCCCCCATTTCAGCTAATGAGGAAGGCAAAAGTGCAGGCCTGCTGACCGCAACTCAGCTTCCCACTTTCTTATGGACCTTGTAAACTCCAGGGCAAACCCTCTCGAGCATTCCAAAGCTTTTTCTTTATAAGAACTGGAAACTTTTAACCAATTTTCTTTTAACCTCAAGCTGCACCCTTTCACTCTCTCCTCTGTAAAGTGGCAACAGGCACCTTTCCATGCTGGAGGTGAACTGTGGGGATAAACCAAGGCAGACGTGGGAGCTGCAGGGGTGCCGCTGCACGAATGTGTGCGTGTGCACCTGTAACAGCCCGATGCAGCTGCCCCGCACACTCAGAGAGACACAGACGAGCCAACAGGAGCATCACGGGTCAGGAACAGCTACTTCATTAGGGCTGATTTGTCCTGTTCTGTAATTAAGAGCCAGGCTGGCCCAAGTCCCTGCCTCAGGTAGAGCCACACCGCCGTACAGAGTCTGCGCGGTAACGCTTCTTCCTGTAATTAAACTGTCTCTCGCTGAACAAAGCGCCACGAGTGCCGTGTGTGTCGCGCAAGGCCATGCCGTGCTCAGCTGGACGGGGCAGAGCAGCTGTGCACCGGGAGAGTCCTTGCCCCGGCTTTGCTGCAGAGAACCAGCGCCCGCCGGGCCTCCCCGGAGAGGTGCAGCGGTTGGGACTGAAGGCCTGTGAAAGCGAGCACCGCATCCCATTCCAACGTGAGTCCCGGGGACTTGGAAGCAAACCCTGGCTTCATACTGTATCCACGGCCTTGGAACACAGTCACAGTGGCTCTAAGGAGCTTCAATTTAATTAGCTACAAGCTGTTAGATGCATCAAGAACTGGCTATTAATAGCAAGGGCTGTGCCCCGTGGCCGAGGCCGGTGCAGGCAGCAGGTGACTCTCCCTGAGCCAGTTCTGCAAACTCAGCCTCAAAACTTCACCCCCAAGAGCGTGGAAAGCTGCTATCTCACAGAACAGAACCAAACTGTGCTCTCAGCCCTCTAGCTTGTTCTATCCTTCCACCACTGCGACCAAAACCACCTCCGCTCATTTTCGCTTTTAACTTACCTACCCACAGGAATGATCCTGAGGGACAAGAAAGGTCTTATCAGGTCCCAATTCACTACTAAACCACCTCCTGCCCTTGCTGCCCCCAGGACCTGACCTTGTTCCTGGGGATCCTTCAACACACCACAAAGCCAACAGGTTTACACTGGCTTTCACAGCCCATGAGCAGACATGACCATGGTCTGTGGAGGATGGAGAAGCCCTCCCCGAATGAGCTAGGACACACAGGCAGCTGCCTTGCTGGAGGGCACAGGACATTGGCAGTGTACCAGCCTTCCAGTGCTGCTCCTGCTCTCCCTTTCCCCCCCTGCAACAGGTCAACAGCACCAATATTTTACATAATAACCAAGGATTGGGAGTCAGGAGCATTTCTTCTTGTGAATAGTCCCACAGACCTACCTGTGACCTGTAGTTGGGGGGGTGTGTGTGTATATATGTATATATAAAAAAAATACATACGTACAGTTCACCCAGGGACAACAGATCCCACGAGATGAGCATCAGCTGTACATGAGCCACAGTACACTTTGCCAGCACTTGCCTCCCTTGTCTCCAGGACAGAAGCTTTTCCCTCAGGGGGTGTAGGAGGCCCCAGCATCCCCCATTTCCACACCTGGAGTGAAGCCTGACAGTGGCCTGGGACAGGCAGAGAGGGCTTGGCTAAAAAAAATAAAAATAAATGAATAATTAGAAGTGGAAACATGCCAGGCAAGGCAGCGAGGAGGAGGGGTAAGACCTGCCATCCATGTGCCTTGTCCCATCCCAGCAGTACATGTCAGCATTCAGCCCCCGCTGACAGCACCGCGCCTCCAGGGAGGGTCACTCTTTTTTGTTTGCAAAAGGGAGATTAGAACTGGGGTTTTTTTCCAAGTCAGGGATTGTGGAAAGCTGAAGGATCCCTCCCAAGCAGCCATTCCTCCACCCCAGCCTCAGCGGGGAGGCGTGAAAGCTGCTGCTGCTGAGGCCAGGGAAGGCGCCAGGGCCCTGACCCCCTCCCCAAGCCTCCAACCCTGCTTGGGCTGGGGCCTCACAGGAGGAAAACAGACTCTTTTCTTCCCTTTTTGGCCCCAAAGCACACGCTGGCCACTGTTTGCGCTGCTGGGCGGCTGCGGGTCGGGTGGATGTTTCCCTCGCGCCGGCCGAGGCTGGTCACGGTGCCAGGCGGTGCCGCCACAAGCGCAGCCCGTGCCCGGGGTGTGCCGGGCCTCTCATCGCCTCCTCGCTAATTATTCCAAGCAATCACCTGCTGCTTGCGGCCGCGGCTGGGCCCAGTTCCCCGCAGCCAGCCCAGCCCCAGGAGCCACCCGCGGTACTGGCTTCAATTTCCAAAGAGGCCTCTAAAACCACAGAGGGGAAGGAAATGGGCAGGAGACCCCAGGACAACCGTGGGCACAGCCACTGGCTGTCCGGCCTCCCCACACCTCCCTCCATGAACAAACCTTCACCAGGCCCGAGATCATCGAGTTCGCTGGTGCTCAGCAAACCGTGGCCCCGGAACGCAGGCTCTCCCCTGCAGACTCCTCCAACCCCCCCGGCACACCGCAGCACGGGCCCCCGGCTGCCACTGTGGCTCCGGGAGCTGGTATTACCGGTGGTGGCGGGTGCTGGGTGCGGGTTTCGTCTTGCCCCGACACCTCCGTGAGCTTTTCCAGCCCCGGAGAGCCGGGAGGTTTCCTCCTCAGCCCCGGGAGCCTCATGCAACCAGCACGCACCCAGCTCCCCTGGGGTGCTGGGCCAGCAGGCTCGGTGGGTTGCCTTCTTTTTTTCCTCTTTTTTTTTTTTTTTTTTTTTTTTT